CAGGGATTTAGGAGAGAAATATAGTGTCACAAAAAGGATATCGAATTCTGTTCTAGTCCTAACCCTGCTGTTGACTTGAACTTCAGAAAATTCAATTGGACACTGTAAGCCTAACTACTCAGGCGACTGAGATCTGAGGATTGCTGTTCAAATCCAGACTCAGCAGACAAATCCAAAAAGACTCATCTCCAAGTAACCAAAAACAAAACAAAAAAACCCAAAAACCTAGAAGTGGAGGTATAGTTCAAGTAATTGAGTGCCAGCCTTGAGCAGAAAAGTCCAGTGATGGAAGCCATACTCTCCCCCATCTCTCTCTCTCTCTCTCTCTCTCTCCCCTCCATCCTCCCCCCACAAATTCCTGTCAGGCGCTGGTGGTTCATGCTTGTAATCCCAACTACTCAGGAGACTGAGATCTATGGATCGTGCTTCAAAGCCAGCCTGGGCAGGAAAGTCCTTGAGACTCTTTTATCAAATACCATAAAACTGGAAGCAGACCTGTGTGTCTCAAATGGTAGAACTGCAGACCTGTGTCTCTCAAATGGTAGAGCTCTCGATTTGAGCAGGAAAGCTTAGTGATGGTATCCAGGCCCCAGTTCAAGCACCAGAACCAACACAAAAAAAAAAAGAAAAAGAAAATTGCTATCATTTTCTGGCTCTCTTTCCCCAGCTGAGCAAATGGCCTCCCAGAGTCACTGGATCTTAAGTGACAGAAGCATCTCATCCCTTTACTCAAAGAAAACATCTGGGACTTTTCTGTATAGAGATAAGCCACAAGACTCCTTACACAGAAAGTCCTGGGGGACCCAGGAGGGCGCTAGGCTGGCAGCCTGAAGACATAAATAGCCATACTGTGGCTGGTGGCGCGCCATAAGTACAGCGGGCTTTATTGTGATGGATTGCTAGGCCTCAGCCCAAACCAGATGGGTCCTCAGGGAAGGCTGTGGAAGGAGCAGCACCACTTTTCACTTAGACTATCTTTGTCTTGATAAGATCAAGAACACACTTCCTCTCTGGAGGCCAAGAATGTAGCAGATGCACCTGTGTGTACTTGGGGGTTCTAGAGAAGACAAAAGAGGTAGCCAGGCACCTGGTGGCTCACACCTGTAATGCTAGCTACTCAGGAGGCTGAGATCTGAGGATCACGGTTCAATTCAGCTTGGGAAGAGAAGTCCTTGAGACTCTCATCTCCAATTAACCACCAAAATGCTAAAAGTGGAAGTATGGCTCAAGAGGTAATGTCAGCCTTGAGCTAAAAAGGGACAATGCCCAGGCCCTGAGTTCAAGCTCCAGTACTGATACATGAACAACAAAAAGAAGTAAATGGCCTGTACTCAAGGCTCCAGTCATGGTGTGTCCTGTCTGCAGCGGACTTGAAGAGCATATTGGTGAGCCTGCAGGAAGGGTCTCAGGACTGCTCTGTGTGTGGGAGGGGAAGGAAGCATTGGGCAGAGGAAAAACAAAGGCAGCTCTGGAAGACTTGGAGGGAGCTTCCAACTCTCAAGCTGGGATGGCCAGTTTGAGTTATTCTGAATTGAGGTAAATTTGGGGCCAAGCCTTCACATTCCCAGCATGCAATGCTAGCTACCCCAGGAATGGGGTGTGCCTTGGGGGAGCGGGGGAGGTGTGAGGCAGCTCTGACAGCTGAGATCTGCGAACCTACAAAGCTCCCAGGAGCCAGGGGGCAGCCTTAAGCCCAGAAAGGGATCTAGGCTACAGTGCAGCATTTGTCATAGCACCCTGGGGAGAATAAGCCCTATTTATCCAGTGATTTGAATCACCCATACATAACCCATGGCCCACCCAGATCTGAAAAGCACTGGCCTACTCCAATGAAAAGCATATCGAAGGTTGGTATAGTGGGACATCCCTGCAATCCCAGCATTCAGGAGGCTGAGGCAGGAGAATTGAAACATCAAGTCCATTCTGTGCTACATAGTGAAAACCTGTATCAAAAAACCAAACCAGCTATGTGCTGATTGTTCGTGCTTATAATCCTAGATATTCAGGAGACTGAGATCTGAGGATTGAGGCTCAAAGCCAGCCCAGGCAGAAAAGTTTGTGAGACTTATCCCCAGTTAAACACCAAAAAGCCAGAAGTGGTGCTGTGGCTCAAGTGGTAGAGTGCCAGTCTTGCCTTTACCGGAAAAACTCAAGAGACATTACCCAGACCCTGAATTCAAGCCCCAGCACATACGCGTGCACGTGACACACACACACACACACACACACACACACACACACACACACACACACACACACACATACCTTAACAACAACAAAATAAAAACAAAAGAGCATATCATCTTTAACTCTCTAGTTCTCAGTTTATGTTTTTGTGTGTATTCAAGCCCTGGGGCTTGAACTCAGAGCCTTGTGCTCTTGCTTAGCTTTTTTTGCTAAAGGCTATTGCAGTTCAAAGCCAGCCCTCGGGGAAAAAAAAAAAGTCCATGAGCCCCTAATCTCCAATTAACCAGCAAAAATCAGGAAGTGGAAGTGTGGTCCAAGTGGTAGAGTGCCAGCCTTGAACAAAAAAAGATAAGGAATGGTGCCCTGTCCCTGAGTTCAAGCCCCAGCAGCAACATAAAAAAACAGAAGTGCTGTTTATGTTAGGTTTTTAAAAAGAGGTAGCCGAGTAAGAACAGCACCACACACGTGGTATTCAGGTAAGGGGTAGGTTTATTCATCGTTCTGGCTGGCACCAGGCCATGTTGGCCCTCCACTAGACTGGGAAAGGCCTGGGAAACACCTGAGAAAGACCTAGAAAAGAGGCTGGGGAACAGGGCATCTGGGCCTGTGTTAGGCCTTATCTAAGGTATGAGCGGAGAAAGGTGTGGGCACATCAAATTCTGATAGGACCTCAGCAGATGCAGAGGTGACCTCTTCCAGGTGTGTCAGTTGCCTAGGTAATGCAGGTACTGGGCGGAGACTTTGCTGCGAGGAGGGTGGAGTCTGCTGGCCATCCAGGAACAGACATTACAGGAAGGTGGCTCAGTGCTTGCCTTGCATGTGTGAGGCCCTTGGTTCGATTCCTCAGACCACATGAGCAGAAAAAAGCGATAAATGGCGCTGTGGCTCAAGTGGTAGAGTGCTCACCTTGAGCTGAAGAGCTCAGGGACAGTGCCCAGGCCCAGAATTCAAGCCCCATGACTGACCAAAAAAAAAACCCCAAAACCAAAAACCAGAAAACAAATGAAGCAGTGGTACTAACTGGACACTATGTTGAAAATGAACTATAAAACTTGAGGGTGCAGGGACTGGGAAGGTGGCTCAGTGGTAGAGTGCTTGCCTTGCATGCCTGAGGCCCTGGGTTCAATTCCTCAGCACCACATAAGCAGGAAAAAAAAAACCGGAAGTGGTGCTGTAGCTCAAGTGGTAGAGCACTAGCCTTGAGCTGAAGAGCTGAGGGACAGCGCCCAGGCCCAGAGTTCAGGCCCCACAACCAGACCCCCCCCCCACAAAAAACAAAAACAAAAAAAAACTTGAGGGTGCAGATGGGAGGGAAAAACTGGGAGAGATCCAGGGAAGGGGGAACAAGGGGGTCCAAAGAGAAATGTACTTTTTATCTGACATGTAACTGTAACTCCTCTGTACATCAGCTTTATAATAATAATAACTCTCGGGCTGGGAAGTTGGCTCAGTGGTAGAGTGCTTGCCTTGCAGGCCTGAGGCCCTGGGTTAGATTCCTCAGCACCACATAAACAAAAAAAAAAAAAAGCTGGAAGTGGTGCTGTGGCTCAAGTGGTAGAGCGCTAGCCTTGAGCTGAAGAGCTGAGGGACAGCGCCCAGGCCTAGAGTTCAGGCCCCATGACCGGACCCAAAAAAAAAAAAACTCTGGATAGTGCCTGATACATTGAATGGGTATTTAGCAACTATGTTGACAGGCTGAATGCCCTTGGACAAGGGATTAACCTTTTTCTGTTTCATCATGGGAATAAATAAGTACATCATTTCCTCTTTCTTCATAATTTATATTTTCATGTAAGTTCCAAGAGGATAGAGTCCTGTCTTGTCTGCTATCTCCTTCACATTCCCACAAACCACAGAGCGGCTTCCCGTGAATATTTGTTGTATGAGCGAGTCTGTGTGGGAGGGAGGATTATTATTTTGGAAAGAAAAACAAAAAGATCTAGCGAGAAGGAAGCATTCATTCCTTGCTAATAGTGACTCATTGTTTTCAGCCAACCCTTGGCCTTTTCTCATTCAAGGTATCCATAAGTAAAGCACAGTGGAAAAGCAGTTGGAGCTGTTGATACAACTGTATTGCAAATACCATCATCCAGGAGCTCGGCTATGTGTGTGTGTGTGTGTGTGTGTGCACGCGTGTGTGTGCGTCTAGGATCTTCTCTGTGTGTGTATGTGTGTGTGCGTGTGTGTGTGTCTAGGATCTTCTCTGTGTGTGTGTGTATGTGTGTAGGATCTTCTGTGTGTGTGTGTGTGTGCACGCGCGTCTAGGATCTTCTCTGTGTGTGTATGTGTGTGTGTGCGTGTGTGTGTCTAGGGTCTTCTCTGTGTGTATGTGTGTAGGATCTTCTCTGTGTGTGTGTGTGTGTGTGCGTGTGTGTGTGTGTGTGCGTGTGTGTGTGTGTGTGCGTGTGTGTGTGTGTGTGTGTCTAGGATCTTCTAAATATTCTGAGATCTCCTGTGATCTTCTTCTCCCAGTCTCCATTTCAGGGTTTCACCATAAACGAAGAACTCAAGTGTGTGAGCCTTGCACTCCGATTGGTCCAGCAGAAGTTTCCTTGTCACTGATAGTTTTCACACGTGGCCTTTGCTTGGCAGCTCTGGTGATTTCCCTTGCAGTATACAAAGCAGCCCAAATCCTGGGCTGCGGCCTCGCAGCGCCGCCTGGCGGCCGTCTCAGGACGGCGCCCCAAGTCGGCCCTCTGCCCGCGGTTGACCGGCGCCGGGCGCGGGCTTCGGGATTCCAAACTGTTGGGAGTTGGAACGACTCCAGCCTGGCCCCCGGGAGGCAATCCCGAGCCGCCCGCCCCCCCGGGGTCATGGAGAGGGCCTCCCAGAAAAGCAAAACTGGTAATGGGGGGTAGGGAGAGGGTGGTGATGTGGGTGGCTGGCCTTCTTGCCTCTTGTGCCCCATGCAGAATAGGGTCGGAGGCACCATGGGCTTGGTAGATGACCTCTAGCCAATTGTTATGAAGGTGTAATCTCCAGATGGTAAGGACCTTGCTTCTCAGTGGACAGATGTATGAGCTTTGACTCACATAGACCCACGTTGAACCATCACCACGACAGTCAAGGCCAGGAGCAGGCCCATCACCCCCAGAATTACCCAGCGTCTGGCCCTTGGCAGCCTACCCCTTCCTCCATACACACTCATTTTCTGTGGAGAAGGTCATTTTAAAAAAGGGAGTCAAGCTGGGCGCCAGTGGCTCACACCTGTAATTCTAGCTACTCAGGAGGCTGAGATCTGAAGATCACGGTTCAAAGCCCGCCTGGGCAGGAAACTTTGTGCCACCAAAATCCTGGAAGTAGAGATGTGGCTCAAGTGGTAGAGCACTAGGCAAAAAATCTTAGGAACAGCATCCAGTCCCTGAGTTCAAGCCCCTGGACATGAAAAAGAAAACAACAATGAAAAAAAAAATGGAGTCATTAATGAAGCTTCTTGAGTCTGGCTTCTCTTAACTCTTTTGAAACTAGATTCCATGATAAGCACATGTAATTTGCAAACTGGGGTTGGAGATGGGCTTTGAGGAAAGGGTTCAGATTACCCCTAAGATTCCAATAACTGTAGGAGCCCTGAAAAACATCACATGAACTCAGCAAAGGCAAGCTGGAGCATGTTGCTAGTCTTTGTGACAGGAATTGGGGGTGCAATGTTGGAAAGGGTTATTGAAAACAGCTCTGTCCAGAAATCTGTGCACTGAAAAGGAGGAGCCTTCTAAAAGCTTCTTGGGGTGGACAGAGGGGAGGCCCTTGTTTTAAATAATATTTGCTTGTGAGATGTGGTTCTGAAGAAAATAAGTTTCAGTTCCTCTCACTCACAACCAGTTTTCCCTAAGGTCTTTGGATTTTCTTCCCAAAGGTCTTCTTTTTTTTTTTTGTCAGTTGTGGGGCCTGAACTCTGGGCTTGGGTGCTGTCTCTCAGCTCTTCAGCTCAAGGCTAGCGCTCTACCACTTGAGCCACAACACCACTTCCGGCTTTTTTCTTTTTGTTTATGTAGTGCTGAGGAATTGAACCCAGGGCCTCATGCATGCAAGGCAAGCACTCTACCACTGAGCCACCTTCCCAGCCCTTCCCAAAGGTCTTTGAATCCATCTTCTAACCATTTCCTGGTTCACAATGATGACATACTTCAGTGACTGTAATACCTTTTATATTTTTTCAATCTACTCGGGCCTCAACCCACAAATCACACAGCAGCCACTATTATTACTAATAGTGGTAGTAGTAGTAATAGTAGTACTTTATATTTTTGGTGCCAATCCTGGAGCTTGAACTAAAAACCAGGACAATTTTACTTGACTTTTTTTTCCCCCTTAAGGCTGGCACACTACCACTGTAGTCACAGCTCCATCTCTAGCTTTTTTGCTGAAAAATTGGAAATCATGGATTTTTTTTTTTTCCTGTCTGGGCTGGCTTCAAACTGAGCTCTTCAGATTTCAGCTTCCTAAGTAGCTAAGATTATAGGCATGAACCACCATGCCCAAAACAGTGATTCTTTTTTTTTTTTTAATGCAAATCTAAGCCAGGCACTGCTACTCAGGAGGCTGAGATCTGAGGATCATGGTTTGAAGCCAGCCCAGGCAGAAAAGTCCCCATGAGACTCTTAGCTCCAATTAACCAGTCAAAAACTGAAGTGGCACTGTGGCTCAAGTTGTAGAGTGCTCTCTTTGAGCCACAAAGAGGTTCAGGGACAGCACCCCGGCTTTGAGATCAAGCCCGTCAACCAAGAAAAAATAAAGCAAATCTGGTCACATCCAGCTTCAATGACATCTGTTTTTTCCTTGGAATCAACCTGAGCACCAGCTGCCCTCCCCCTACTTTTACTAGTCTTCTCATGTTTCAACAGGACTCATTCTGGCCTGTCTTAGAACCTTGAGAAGGTTTGCTATTTCCCATCTTCCTTTGCCGAAATATTTCCTATTGGTTCTTTTTCTTTCTTTTTCTTGTCGGTCATGGGCTTGAACTCTGGGCCTGGGTGCTCTTCAGGCTCAAGGCGAGCACTCTACCACTTGAGCCACAGTGCCACTTCTGGGTTTTCTGGTGGTTAATTGGAGATAAAGGTCTCCCAGATTGTTCCTGCCCGGGCTAGCGTTGAACTGTGATCATCAGATCTCAGCCTCCTGAGTAGTAGGATTTACAGGCATGAACCACTGGTGCCTGGCTTCCTATTGGTTCTTTGACTCTTGATTCTTTTTTTGTTTTGTTTTTTTTTTTTCCCGGAAGCCTAATCTACTGTCTCAAGGTGAGATGGGACCTTGGCTCCCTGTTAGTACCCGGCACTCTATTGCCTTTTCCTTTCACTGCACAGGTTACAGCTGCTCAATTCACATTTGCATAAATGCCTGGCAGTTGTCTACTCCACTAAGCTGTAATATGTTATATCCTTACAGATAAGAAACAAGCAATCAGTCACCAGTGGCTCACACCTATCTATAATCCTAGCTACTCAGGAGGCTGAGATCGTAAGATTGAGGCTCAAAGCCAACCCAGGCAGGAAATCTCCAATGAATCACCAAAACCTGGAAGTGGAATTGTGGCTCCAGTGATAGAATGCTAGTCTTGAGAAAAAAAAAAGTCAGAGACTGCACCAAGGTCCTAAGTTCAAGCCCCAGGTCCTGTGCACACACACACATACACACACGCACACACACACACACGCACACAGAAATATGCATTGGCTTACTACAGTAAAACCAGGGCCTACCCACACTGCCTAGAATCAATAAATATATGTTAAGTGAATAGATAACACCAGTTAAGCACCCTTGGTGGACCAGGCTTTGTGCAATGACCCTTTAATGGTCTTATTTAATTCCTATAACATGCTGGGTGCCAGTAGCTCATGCCTGTAATCCTAACTGCCCAGGAGCCTGAGATTTGAGGGTCATGGTTCAAAGCCAGCTCTGGCAGATAAATCCAGGAGATTTTTTTTATTTCTAGTTAACCAGCAAAAAGCCAGGAGTGGAGCTGTGGCTTAAGTGGTAGAGTGCCAGCCTTGAGTAAAACACTAAAAGACATAGCCCAGGTCCTGAAGTTCAAGATGTGATTGTGCACACACGCGTGTGCATGCGTGCGTGTCCCATAACACTTCCACAGTAGCTGTGGCAGAAGTTTAGATTCAGAACCCTAGGGCCAATTTGCCATGGTGCTGTTTTAATCAGTGATTGAAACATGTCCCCTGCTCTCTGTCAGAAAGACGAGTCAGCTTCAAGGCCAAAGCCTCTGTACACAACTTGAGCAGAACTCAGAAGACCAAACTCACTGTGAGCAGCCTGGGGCTGGGTCTCGTCATCATCCAACACGGGCCCTACCTTCAGATCACGCACCTCATCAAGAAGGGTGCTGCCGCCAAGGATGGGAAACTCAAGCCAGGTGAGTGGTCTCCCAAGCCTCCCAACCATGCCTTCCCCCGGCCTCCCTCCCGCCTGCCTCCAGGGAGTCAGGAGCTTTCAAAAGGGCAGCCAGTTGCTAACATTTATATAGCTCTCATTGTTGATGTGCTATTAAGATTTTTTTTTGTTTCCTACCATTACTGGGGCTTGAACTCAGGGACTGGGTGCTGTCCCTGAGCTTCTTCATACTCAAGGCTAACACTCTACCACTTGAGCCACAGCGCCACTTGTGGTTTTAGGTGGTTTATTGGAGAGAAGAGTCTCACAGACTTTCTTGCTTGGCTGGCTTTGAAATGTGATCCTCAGATCTCAGCCTCCTAAACAGCCACCGATGCCTAGCTAGCTTTTTGAACCGTGACCCTCAAATATCAACCTCCTGAGTAGTTAGGATTGTGGCATGCACCACCGGTGGCCAGTTTTCATTTAATTTTTATGATAACCCTACGTGGGAACTGTAAACCACCTCCCCTCCCCAACTTTTACAGGTGAAGAAACTGAAGCCAATGAGAATGAGTTCCTTGTCCAGGTGTACCTTTATCTCGTAAGCATAGTGTCATTCCAAAGCCTGCCTCTGTGCACAATAATTTTTCCTTTTCATAGGCCCTACCATTCATTGCGAGCATCTGTGTACATGTCTTCACATTGACCTACCAAAAACCTCAGAGGTAGATTCTGTACCACCCACCTTACAGATAAAGGAAGACTGTTTTTTGTTTTTTTTTGCCTGTCCTAGGGCTGAAACTCAGGCTCTGCGCACTATACCTGAGCTTCATTTGCTCAAGGCTTAGCACTCTACCACTTCAGCTACAGCGCCCCTTCCAGCTTTTTCTGTTTACGTGGTATTGAGGAATCCAACCCAGGGCTTCATACATGCTAGGCAAGCACTCTACCACTAGGCCACATTCCCAGCCCCAGGAAGTATGTATTTAGTTAACTTGATTGCAGTCATTCCAAGGAGCTGGGATTTGAAACCCTACTTCTCAGGTCTTTGAGTGACTGTGTTTTCCCAGGGCCTGCCCTGGGCCTGGTGCTGTGCCCAGAAATAGGGGGTGCACAGGGATGGAGAAGTGGGGGAGTGGAAGACTTTTCAGAGCACCTGCTCAGAACTCAGGCCCAGGTGCTACCAATTTTGGCACTGAAGAAAAAAAAAGAAAAAAAGGAAGAAGGAAGGAAGAAAGGGAGGGAGAAAATAGTGTTGGCACATTTATTGGTCTGTGCTTAATAAATGAACAGTGAATGATTATTTGTCCCAGGCATTGTATGAGGTGTTTCTGCATCTATTATTATTTTTTTTCCAGTCCTGGGACTTGAACTCAGGGCCTGGGCACTGTCCTTGAGCTTCTTTTGCCCAAGGCCAGAACTCTACCACTTGAACCACAGCACCACTTCTAGCCTTTTCTGTTTCTGAGGTACTGAGGAATGGAACCCAGGGCCTCAAGCATGCAAGACAAGCACTCTACCACTGAGCCACCTTCCCAGCCTTACATCTATTATTGAACTTAATCTTTGTGACACTCCTAGAATGTAGATCATGAAATTTAATCACCCATGTAGATGAAGTAATTTGTTCACTTATACACAGCCACGTCTGTGGCCAGAGCTGAGGATCCAAACTGGTATATTCCTAGAAACATAGCTCCCTAGCCAATTACTTAAGAACTAAAAGTGAGCCTTACTGAAGAGGGAGTTCAACCAAGTTTCCAAGACCCAGTAAATTCAGACTTTTTTTTAATGCTAGTTCTGAGGCTTGAAATCAGGGCCCAAGTACTGTCAAGCTTGTTTGCTCAAGGCTGGTGCTCTACCACTTGAGCCACAGTTCTACTTTCAGCTTTTTGGTGATGAGTCTCTTCCATTTGTCTGCCTGGGCTGGCTTTGAACTTTATCCTGAGAGCTCAGCCTCCTAAAGAGTTAGGATTACAGGTGTGAGCTGCTGGTGCCTGTCATTTCTACAGCTTGTTAAAAACAGAAAAGAGATGTAATGAGGTGGTTGTTCATAAATACTAAACTGAAGCCTCTTCATGAAGGGCAATGTTAATATTTGCCATCAGAGCAATCACATTCACAACCTGACACGCTTACTTCATAGCCAAAATGGTCAGGGAGTTAAGCTGTTTGTGTTCTGCTCTTTTAATAAAAGTCACCCTCTTACAACACAATTAAGCAAAATGACAAGCCATTACCTTTTGACTATAAATAATCCTGTTCTTCCCTTCCTTCCTTCCTTCCTTCTTTCTTTCTTTCCTTCCTTCCTTCCTTCCTTCTTCCTTTTCCCTTTCCTTTCCTTTCCTTTCCTTTCCTTTCTCAGAGCTCTTTTGCTCTGTACCATTTGAACCACAGCTCCACATCGGATCTTCTGGTGGTTAATTGGAGATAAGAGTCTCATGGACTCCCCTGCCCAAACTGCCTCCAAACTTTGATCCTCAGATCTCAGCCTTCTGAGTAGCTAGGATTACAGGCTTGATTCACTAGTGCCCAGTGAAGACAAAATTTTTACCCAATGTGAAAAATCTGTTCCCTCTCTCTCTCTCTCTCTCTCTCTCTCTCTCTCTCTCTCTCGCTCTGTCTCTCTCTCTTATGTATGTATTGGAACTGAGACTTGAACTCAGGGCCTTGGACTTTCATTTGGATTTTTCCATCAAGGCTTGTGTTCTGCCACTTGTTTTTTGTTGTTTTTGTGGTTAATTGGAGATAAGAGTCACATAGGCTTTCTTGCCTAGGCTGGCTTTGAACCAGGATCCTCAGATCTCAGCCTCCTGAGTAGTTAGGATTACAGGTGTGAGCCACCAGTACCCTGCTGAGTTTGTCCTTAAGAAGCAAATCATTTTTTTTGGCGGGGGGTCCGGTTGTGGGCCTGAACTCTGGGCCTGGGTGCTGTCCCTCAGCTCTTCAGCTCAAGGCTAGCACTCTACCACTTGAGCCACAGTGCCACTTCTGGCTTTTTTTTCTGCTTATGTGGTGCTGAGGAATTGAACCCAGGGCCTCATGCATGCAAGGCAAGCACTCTACCACTGAGCCACCTTTCCAGCTCCAAGAAGCAAATCTTTTGGGAGCTGGCAATGTGGTTTAGTGGTAGAGTGCTTGCCTTGCAGCACCACATAAACAGAACAAACCAGAAGTGGCACTGTGGCTCAAGTGGTAGAGTGCTAGCCTTGAGCAAAAGCAGCTCAGAGACAGTACCTGGGCCAGGACTGGCAAAAAAAATGAAGCAGCAGCAGCAGCAGCAGCAGCAGCAAATCTTTTGCATTCCTTCCCCAAAGCCTTTGCTGATTGCAAGTGGCCTTCAGAATTCTTCACTGCAGGGGCTGGGAAGGTGGCTCAGTGGTAGAGCGCTTGCCTTGCATGCATGAGGCCCTGGGTTTGATTCCTCAGCTCCACATAAGCAAAAAGAAAAAAGCCGGAAGTGGCGCTGTGGCTCAAGTGAGCTGAAGAACTGAGGGACAGTGCCCAGGCCAAGAGTTCAGGTCTCACGACCGGACCAAAAAAGGAAAAAAAAAGAATTCTTCGCTGCAGGCATTAGAAAATGGTTCTGTTATTCTGTAAGGTACTGAATTTAGGATACAAGTCTATGATAGATTTGCCAGAAAGGCTGGAGAGCAAGGCTTGGAGAAGACGGTGAGAGAAGAGGGCCACATGGAGCTAGTCCTAGGAACACTTCCTGCCCTCCGGCTCTAAGTTCATTGACCCAGACAGGAGCGCCTGGTGGCTGGGTAGTGTGCTGTTCCCGTCAGTGTCTTTGCTGCTAGGGTGAGGGAGATGAGTACACAAGATTCACTGTTTTTAGTTTTATTTTAAAAAATTACTAAAGTTTTCTCCCTTTTGGAGGTCAGGGCTTTGTTGCCAAGCTGTAATAAAAGCTCCAGGGCTGCCATGCCTCTGTCTTTCTGTTCAACATTGCCCTAAAATAGAAGACCTGTTGGGTGCTGGGACCCATACCTGTAATCCTTGCTGCTAAGGAGGCTGAGATCTAAGGGTCAAGGTTCAAAGCCAGCCCAGGCAGGAAAGTCAGTGAGACTCTTATCTCCAATTAACCACTAGAAATCTGGAAGTGGCACCATGGCTCAAGTGGTAGAGTGCTCGCCTTGAGCAAAGAAGTCAAGAGAGAGTGAGAGGCACTGGGTTCAAGTCTCAGTACACACCAAGATTTCCTAAAGTAGGTCTAGCTATAAAATTGTTTTGAACCAAGATATGTTCTGCCTCCACATCTTATGTACAATTAAGGCAAGCTAACTTACAATATTTCATCCAGAATGGTTTTCCCAACTATAATTCTGCACGGGAGCAGAGAATTACAACCAATGTTACTCTACCACTGAGCCACATTCCCAGCCCAACATTTAAAAAATTATTATTATTTTTTAATTATCAGCTAGCGCCAGTGGCTCATGCTTATAATCCTAGCTACTCAGGAGGCTAAGATCTGAGGATCACGGTTCAAAGCTAGTATGGGCAGAAAAGTTGCCATGAGACTCTTATCTCCAATTAACCCCTCTAAAGCCAGAAGGGGTGCTGTGGCTCAAGTGGTAGAGAACTAGCCTTGAACACAAAGTGGCTCAGGGACAGTACCCAGGCCCTGAGTTCAAGCCCCACAACCACCACACCCAACAACAACACAAAATTAATTGTTATTATAAAGATGATATACCAGGAGAGTTACAGTTACATAAGTCAGGTAGAAAGTACATTTCGTTTTTGGACAATGTCACCTCTTCCTTCACTCTCTCCCAGTTTTTCCCTCCTATCTCCCACCCACAAGTTGTGTAGTTCATTTTCCACATAGTGGCTAGTGAGTAGCACTGCTGCATTTGTTCACCCTTCAAGACATTCCTCATTATCCAAAGAACAATTGTGTTGGCAGGGTGCTGGTGTTCATGCCTATAATCCTTGCTGAGATTTGAGGATAGAAGCTAGCCAACAAGCAGAGAAGCTCATGAGAGCAAAAAGCTGAAAGCTGAAATGGAGGTGTGGCTTAAGTGGAAGAGCACCAGCCTCCAGTAAAAAAGCAGAGGGATAGCACCCAATATCTGAGTGCAAGCTCACATGTGCACAATCACGTATGTGTGTATACATGCACGTATGTGCGCGTGCATGTATACACACACATATACAAGCAAATGGACAGCACCCAGACCCTAAGTTCAAGCCCTGTGCACACAGAGAGAGAGAAAATAATCGTCAAAAAAAGTAAATGGTATTGTATGTGTGTGTGTGTGTGCTGGTACTGATGCTTGAACTCAGGGACTGCACAGTGTCCCTTAGGCTTTTCGCTCAAAGCTGGCATTTTAGCCAGGCGCCAGTGGCTCACACCTGTAATCCTAGCTACAAAGGAGGCTGAGATCTGAGGATCGCGGTTCAAAGCTAGCCCGGGCAGGAAAGTCCATGAAACTCTTATTTCCAATAAACCACCAGAAAACCAGAAGTGGCGCTGTAGCTTAAGTGGTAGAGCCCTAGCCATGACCGACAAAAAAAAAAAAAAAAAAGCGGCATTCTACTACTTGAGCCATACCTCCACTTTTAGTTTCTGGTGGTTAATTGGAGATATGAGTCTCATAGCATTTCTTGCCAGGCTGGCTTCATACCATGATCCTCAGATCTCAGTCTCTTGAGTAACTCGGATTACAGGCCTGAGTCACGGGTGCCTGGCTGCTATAAACATTTTTTAATAACTAGAGCCTAAAGCCTGGCCTTGATCCAAAACAACCCAACAATATGAACCCATAAAATTAAGTTGTTTTCAAGAAAGCCAGCAACTAGTATGGCCCTCTTCAACCCATTCTCTTCATTTTATTCATACTATTTTTCCTTCTCCAGGGGACGTTCTGATTAGTGTTGGCTACGCCAATGTATTAGGATATACTCTTCGAGAATTTTTAAAGCTTTTGCAACATATCACCATAGGAACAGTGCTACAAATCAAAGTTTATCGAGATTTTATCGACATACCCCAAGAATGGCAAGAAATATACAATTTGATCCCAGAAGCCAAATCTCCAGAACAACAGTAAGTAATTCAACTTAGGAACTCTGTTACAGTACAGAATCCCCGGGTTTGGGGAGCACAGGGTCTTGGTTTAATGCAGATTCATCAGATGTTAAAGAGCTGTAGAAAAGGAAATTAATGGCACTGCCAGAATAATTCTGTGAATTTCCAGATTCTTTTGGAAAGGATTCTGCAGACCCTCACATGAAAAAACAGGATAAAGGTAATTTGGAGTTCAAAAACAACCAGCAAGCATTGCTAAGAACTCTGTCCCCAAACCTACCTGCAATGTATCCATCTGATCAGCCCTTAAAACATATGCTGGCGGCACTGGGAGCTCACACCTGTAATCCTAGCTACTCAAGAGGCTGGGATCTGAGGATTATGGTTCAAAGTTAGCCTTGAACAAAAAAGCTCAGGGACAGTGCCCAGGCTCTAGAGTAGCTATACCCACACCCACATACAACCCCTGCCCCAAACCAAAGAACTTAGATGCTGGGAATTATACTCTCCTTTCTCTTTGCATTGCCAATTTATTACTCTCTGTTATTCTTCCCAGTGGCATGTAAGTCCCTCTCCCCACACCCCCTTTTTTTGGTGCTAGTTCTGGGGTTTTTATTCAGGGATTTTGCTTGTCTTTTTCTTCTCAAAGCTGGCACTCTACCACTTGAGGCACACTTCTACTTCTGGCTTTTCTTTTCTTTTTTTCTGTTTTGGCTGGTTAATTTTTCTCCATTCATGGAGCATCTCCTGAAGTTTCTAGAGCCACAGAAAACAGTGACGGTTAGCTAGGAGCAAGTATGCACCACATGAAACTTCTGCAGAAAGTTTGTACTCAAATCATCCTAACAGTGATCTTCCAGTGGCCCGATCTTGGGGGAGGATGTGTTTGCCTAGTTGAATAAGCTAGAAATTTAGGGCTGTGTTTGACTTTTCCATTGTCCCCTATTGTTCTAAATCAATCACTAAGCTTTTTCACAACTTCCAGTCTTCTCACACTGTGCTTCTTCCTGCCTCTAATCATCCCAAATCCACCATTTGGTCTACCTGCATCTATTCTCACCTCTTATTCAGTTTTGTTTATTTTGGTGCTAGTCCTGGGGCTCGAACTCAGGGCCTGATCAGTCTCCCTGCTTGTGTTCTCAAGACTGGTGTTCTACCATTAGAGCTAGAACTCTACTTCTGGCTTTTTCTGGTGTTTAATTGGAGACAAAAGTCTCATGTACTTGCTGCCTGGGCTGGCTTTGAACTATGATCCTCAGATCTCAGCCTCCTGAGTAGCTAGGATGACAGGCGTGAACCACCAGCACTTGGCCTCTTATTCAGTTTTTATATGGGATGACTGATCTGTACCCCAAACTGGATCATGGTATGTTCTGTCTTAAAATTTTTAGTATATTCTCTTAGCCTATGTAGTCTATAGTCTAGCTTTATCTCAGACTCTTTTCTCCATGCCTCTAGTCCATTTGGCTTTCAGTTTTCTGCTTTGCATTTATTTGTCTTTGTTTGTTTCTGGTGGTGCTGGGGCTTGAACCCAGGGGATAGCACTTGCTCGGCAGGGCCTCTCCTGTGGAGTCATGTCTCCATCCCATGTGTTGCTTTTCTGTCTATAACATGTGTAGAGGCCTGCTGTCAAAACCCAAAATGGGCTGGGAAGGCGGCTCAGTGGCAGAGCGCTTGCCTTGCAAGCCTGAGGCTCTGGGTTCCACTCCTCAGCACCACATAAGCAGAAAAAGCTGGAAGTGGCGCTGTGGCTCAAATGGTAGAGCACTAGCCTTGAGCTGAAGAGTTGAGGGACAGCACCCAGGCCCAGAGTTCAGGCCCCACAACTGACAAAAAAAAAACCCAACAACAAAACAAAACAAAGCCCAAAACTGTCATCATTCACTCTCATCACATTGTGTGTGTGTGTGTGTGTGTGTGTGTGTGTGTGTGTGTGTGTGTGCGCACTGGAGCTTGAACTCACGGCATGGTTACTTTTTTTTTCCTTTCTCAAGGCTGATGTTCTACCACTTGAGCCACAGCTCCACTTCTGGCCTTTTTGTGGTTAATTGGAGTCTTCTGGACTTCCTGCCTGGGCTGGCTTCAAACCTCGATCCTCAGATCACAGCCCCTTTAGTAGCTAGGCTTCAGTTGTAAGCCACTGGCATTAGGCTGACATCAACTCTAATTAACTAGTTACAACCAGTTGTTTACTCTGTCTCCCTGGGAATATGTCAACTTCATGAAAGCAGGGACCAAATCTGTTTTGTTCTAAATCTACTATTGTTGTTCTAAGCCTTCTATACGGTGAAAGGCTCATTTATTGAATGGATGAATGAGAACTTGAAATCTAGCTTTGAATCTGGACAAATCCCCTACATAATCTCTGAGAGTTTTCTTCTTTATCTGTAACAGGAGAAACAAGAACTCTTCTTTTTTTTTTATTGTGAAAATACTGTACAGAGGGGTTTACAATTACATGGGCAAGATAGTGAGTACATTTCTTATCAAGCATTGTAGCCTCCTCCTTTGTTGAAACAAGAACTCTTCTAAGGATCAGCTGTACCTGTTCTGTAGAACAGGAGGAAATGTAGAATATGAGATCCTTTTTTTTTTGGTCAGTCATAGGCCTTGAACTCTGGGCCTGGGCACTGTTCCTGCTCTCTTCAGCTCAAGGTGAGCACTCTACCTCTTGAGCCAGAGCGCCACTTCCGGTTTTCTACTGGTTTATTAGAGATCAGAGTCTCATGGACTTTTCTGCCTGGGCTGGCTTTGAACTGTGATTCTCAAATCTCAGCCTCTTGAGTAGCTAGGATGACAGGCGTGAGCCACAGGCACCCAGCAGATCCTTTCTTTAGTAACAAATTCAGAGCTCTCATGCAAGAGCGGCCCTCAATTCTCCCAGGACTTCTGAACACTGCATAGCTGTAGCTATGCAGCCTTGCTTGTGGGGATGGGCTCAAGAACATATGTCTCAGGGCTTTGTGAAGGGTAAAAAAAATGACCCATCTTATATATCAACTATATTTCAGAGACTCAAACTTGTGGCCCAAGCATCTAATGTGTCTCACAGATGTGCTTTGCTTAACTCCCACAGCATAAAAAAACTCCCACCAACAACAAACCAAACCAAGCCAACAAACAACCCCTCCCCACCAAGTACTGGTGGTTCATGCCTGTAATCCTAGCTACTCAGGAGGCTGAGATCTGAGAATTGTGGCTCGAATCCAGCCTGCAAGGAACTCTATGAGACTCTTATCTCCAACTAACTACTCAAAAGCCGGAAGTGGCGCTGTGGCTCAAGTGGTAGAGGGCTAGCCATGAGCACAGAGAAGCTCAGGGACTGTGCCCAAGCCCTAAACTCAAGCCCCACAACCAACAAAAAACAAAACAATAAACAAAACCCCTTATACCAAAAGTGCAGTGAGCTATGTAGAGAAAAACAGAAACAAGGTGGCCTTATCCAGAGGTCAGTAACACTCTCCTTTTTTTTTTTTTTTTTAAATTTTGTCACTCGTGGGGCATGAACTCTTGGCCTGGGCACTGTCCCTGTGCTCTTCAGCTCAAGGTGGGCGCTCTACCGCCTGAGCCACAGCACCACTTCCCCACTCCCATTTTTTGACCTGGGTTTTTATAATAATTTTTTTTGATAGTTTTCTACTGCAAACTTTTTGTTGTTGTGACGCTTTAACTTAGGACCTTGGTGCTATCTCAGGCCTTTTGCTCAAGGCTAGTGCTCTACCACTTTGAGCCACAGCTATATTCTCTGCAAATATTTTAAAATGAAAACTATAGAACTAGTTGCTAAATTTACAGAACTAGGATTTCATGGAAAGAACCTGTACTTCTGGTTTCTCTTAAAAACCACAAGATAGGTCATTTTTGCTCAAGGCTAGTGTTTTACCACTTGAGCCACAAAGCTCACACTGGCTTTGAACTGGGATCCTCAGGTCTCAGACTCCTGAGTAGCTAGGACTACATTTGTGAGTCACCAGGGTTTGGAAGGAAACAAGTGAAATTTTTTTGGTGTTATGTTCTGGGGCTTGAACTCAGGGCCTGGGTACTGTCGCTGGGCTTTTTTTTTCCTCCTCAAGGCTATGGCTGTACTACTTGAGCCACAGCTCCACTTTTTTAATACCTCTTGCTGCTGGAAAAACAAAAAAGTACCCTGCGTTTCCCCCATCCCCCACTTATGTATTCAGGAAGACCCGAGTGTCAGAACAACTATTGTAGTTCTGAGACTATTTGAATCTCCTTTACAACCCTAAATCAAGGATTGGAAAAAAAAAAAAAAAGTCACACTACTTAAGATTAGTGGCTCTCAGTAAAAATGGCTCATTTTCCGCTGCATGGTTCTGGAACAGATACATTTTAGGAAGCAAAACAGGTTAAAGAGCTGGTGGCTGGTGGAAATGCCATCAGATCTCAGGAGGCTGAGATCTGATGATCATGATTGAAAGCCAGCCCAGGCAGGGAAACCCAAGATTCTTTTTTAACTTTTTTTTTTGGGTCTGGTCGTGGGGCCTGAACTCTGGGCCTGGGTACTGTCCCTCAGCTCTTCAGCTCAAGGCTAGCTTTTTGCTTATGTGGTGCTGAAGAATCGAATCCAGCACCTCGTGCATGCAAGGCAAGCACTCTACCACTGAGCCACCTTCCCAGCCTCCACCCCCAGATTCTTATCTCCAATTAACCATCAAAAAAAAAAAAAGCTGCAAGAGGAGCTGTGGCTCGAGTGATAGAACGAAAAAGCTAAGAAACAGTGCCCAGGCCGTCCTGGCACCCTGCACCCCGCCCCACTCCACGACAGGCTAAGGAATATAGAAGTAACACTAGTAAGCCTGACAGGACGGCAGTGGTCTCAGGGAAGAAACTTTCTTCACATTAGCAGGACAGAATAGGTCAGAGGGTTTTAATCATGAACGATTTAGTGAGGATGAGGAAGAGCAGGTGACAGCATTTGCTCTGGGAACTCGTAAGCACATAGGGCTGTATAGTTGCCATCTGGCACTCAGCACATTTCAACAATTAAGCCAACAATGGGGGCAAGTTACAGAAAAACAAAGCCAAACCCCAAACAAACAAAAACCCCAGAGAAAACCTTTAATGCTTTTGAGGAGTGGCTGATACGTGGTTGAAGTATAAGAACGCTCTACACATCTGGATCTGGGAACCAATGACAGGCTAAGAAATGATGTCCCATGTGGCAGGAATTAAAGTCTCACTGGGCAGTGATGCTGATAACCCTAGCTACTCAGGAGGCTGAGGATTGCAGTTCAGAGCCAGCCTGGACAGGAAAGTTTGTGAGACTCTTATCTCCAAATAACCACCAAAAACAGCTAGCAGTAGAGCTGTGGCTCAAGTGGTAGAACACTAGCCTTGAACAAAAAAGCTCAGGGACAGTGCCCAGGCCCTGAATTCCGACTGTTACAGAAAACAAAACTCCAGTATTCACTAATGACTCTCCTGAACTCCTGACTCCCAGTGGTTGGTGATCCTTCCTTTTTTCCTCAGTCATGGGACTTGAACTCTGGGCCTGGGCACTGTCCTTGAGCTCTTCAGCTCAAGACCAGCACTCTACTACTTGAACCATAGTGCCACTTCTGGTTTTCTGGTGGTTAATTGGAGATGAGTCTCATGGACTTTCCTGCCGGGGCTGGCTTTGAACCACATCCTCATATTTCAGCCTCCTGAGTAGCTAGGATTACAGGCGTGAGCCACTGGCACCGGTTGGGTGATCCTTCTTATTCTTGTCATGTGATTCACGAGAACAGTTCTCAGATGGCCTCATTGCCCTTGCCATCTAGCCTGAGTGAAATTAATGCATCCTTAAGGCCTGTTCATATTCTGGTCAGTTATCTAGCACAAAGTGGTATTAAATAACTTAAGACAGGATCTTAGACATACTTAAGATGAGAAGAAAAAGGTACTTTTAGAGGAAAGGAGAAAAGATTGGTAGGGATGGAGGGGGAGAATGATAAAAGAGGTGACATTGATCAAGAGGCACTGTATTCATAAACTGCTTTGTTAAATGCCAACTCTTTTGTACAATGACTGAAAGATAATTTTTTTTAAAAAATGTTCTTTTTGGTCAGTCATGAGGCTTGCACTCAGTGCCTAGGCACTGTCCTGAGCTCTTCAGCTCATGGTGAGCACTTGAGCCACAGTGCCACTGTATTTCCTGGTGGTTCATTGAAGGTAAGAGTCTTGTAGTCTTTCTTGCTTGGGCTGGCTTTGAACCATGAACCTCAGATCTCAACCTACTGAGTAGCTAGGATTATAGGTATGAACTACCAGTGCCCAGCTTAGTGTCTTAAAAAAAAATTAAAGACAATAAATGTTCAGACATTAACAATTTTTTTTCTTTTTCCCATTTCAGCACACCAAAGAAACCTGAGCAGGAAAAACACAATTCTTCTGCAAGTAGTGATGACAATGAAGATGTAGTTTTAGATAAGAGATTTAGGTACTATAGATATCCATGGTCAGTTTGGCATCACGCTGCAAGGAGACCACTATCTATCTCCAGAGAATGGCACGGATATAAAAAGAAGAGTCAAGCGATTAGTGTTGGGAAAGATATCAACAGTGACGTGATGGTGCACAGAGATCAACAGAGGGAAGCTAGAGCTCCATCTCCATACTGGACAATGGTAAAGCATGACAGAGAGAGCTCTTCCTCAGCCTCCTCTACCTCAGATGCCTTTTGGTTGGAGGACTATGCCCAAGTGGAGAAGGGCAAGGGGTAACCAGTATCAAAGGTTGGTCAGGAGACAGTTTGCGAGTATGGTCTTAAGAGCATCTGTTCTGGAAATCCTCTTGTTTTGTGTCTTGTAACAGGTTTGCAAAAATTTTTATAGCTATGTGTCTAGACTGACCAAAAGTCCCTCCCTCGACTGCACCTTGGAGGCCTTCTTTAATATGACAGTTAAAAGATGGCCTGAAGTTTCATAGGCTTCACAAATCTCAAACAGCAACGCCAAGAGGGTCATCAAGACCCTCTTTTCTAAGAAGAATTTACTATCATCTTTTAGAAAATATAGCAGAGGAACCCAGTATCACAATGTCTGGACATAGTAGAGAACTTCCAACTTTTTAAGGTAAATACCTTATTTTTCAAAAATTTGTTGGCAAGTTGTTCACATTAGAAATTCCCTTAATCCTCTTGCGACCCTACTATTTAAAAAAAAGTTTTGCCACTAGTAATTATTTGAAAGAGATAAGGGAGAACTAGAGAAAGCATTGCCACAGTGACAAATAAAATTAAGTAATAGTATAACAGGTTTAATTCATTAGGAATTTGTTTTTCAGAAGTAGTCTTATTGCAAAAAAGGTAGTAAAAACCAGATGACTTAACTGCTGTGACTCTCAAATGGCAGATTTTCAACTTGTTTAGAATCTTACAAACGCACCAATGATAACCTGATAGCCACTTAGCTTTAATTTTAATAGTTTCTGGTAATTCTTCACTAATACTAGTTGATGTAATCACTCTATTACTGTGAACTTTACAGAATATAAAACAAACATATAATAAATATTTAACTAGAAAAAATGCAAGAAAAACACTTAAGCAGATTGTTTTATTGTCTCTAGGTCATTGAGATAATGACCTGTATTTATGCTTTAGGTATTTCACTTCACTGAGAAAAAGATACATGTTAAGAGACTTTTGATGCTGAAGGGTTTCTCTGAAAATGTTTCTCTGCCCTGCCATGAGAGCTTCCAGGTTACAACTCATCGACAAAAGGGGTAGTGGCCAAATTTCCACTTGCTGACATTGACTTCTTGCCAGAAATAAACTTCTTTGCAGCCTTTGAATAAACAAACAAAGACAAAATTAAAAGAAATACGTTTACATCAAGCAGATAAAATGTCATTTCAACCAGTTTAAGGCTAGGACATTCTAATGTAGCAACTCTGTAAGAGCCTCATATAATTACTATGAGATGGCTAGTACATTATTTTATTTAAATATGATCATATGTGAAACTGATCAAGTGAGATAAAAATCTCATAATCTAAGTCAGGGCAGAATGGTTTAGGCAAAACTGCACTTGATTCTGTATTATAATGGCAATTAGTCTGCATGAATCAAAAATACACTGATTGTTAACAAATTTTATGTCTTTTTTGGGGGGAGGGGTGGGTGAGGTTTTGCTATGTAGCCTCAAGACTGGCCTTAAATTCATGATCCTCCTGCCTAGGACTTCCAAGTGCTGGGATTCTAGGTGAGCGCCATCATGTCTACAAGTCTTGGTCCTTTTTTTTTTGCCAGTCCTGGGGCTTGAACTCAGGGCCTGGGCGCTGTCCCTGAGCTTCTTTTGCTCAAGGCTGGCATTCTACCACTTGAGCCACAGCACTACTTCTGGCCTTTTCTGTTTGTGATACTGAGGAATTGAACCCAGGGTTTCATGCTAGGCAAGAACTCTACCACTAAGCCAGTCCTAGCCCTTGTCCATTTTTTTTGATGGGAGAGTGGTATTGGGATTCAAACTCAGAACTTTTTATGTGGCAGGCATTTTTGAGCCAGGCTCTCAGAAGGCGCATATATATATATATAGTGGCACCATGGTTTGAACTCAGTACCTCTTACTTGGTAAGGTGTCCTCTATGTTATATGAGATACACTCCCACCCCAGTTCCAATATTCTTTATGCCACCTTTAAATTCAAAAGCCAGTTAAGCATCATATAGCAAGGCAAGTCTCTGCCTAAGAGAGAACTTTGACATCTGTGGTAGAAAAGGAGTGTTTTAAATGTGGGAATGACTGTGGAAAATGCACTGATTTCTCTTTATTCTGTAGTCCCCATGCTTAGTAGGCAGAGCAAAAAGACAAGGGAAATCCTAGCTTCTGAAACAACTTGTTCTTATAGGATAGAACAGCAGATGTGGGAAAAAAAAAACCCAAAACACTAACAAAAGAGCCTGCAGGAGATTATCTAATGCTGAAAAGCTGGATGGTGAAGGTTTGGCAAGATGATTATTTGGGGTAAAGAGAAAAGGCAGCAATTTATTTAAGTTGAATCATATGAAATTGTCAGTGTTTAGATCTTATTGACTGCTCAGTTTACATTGCTTTAATTTAATGGTCATTTCTTTAAAGAGAAAGCTACATGCAAGTTAGCAAGGAAGTTATTTCTTTTTTTTTTTTTTTGGGTCTGGTTGTGGGGCCTGAACTCTGGGTCTGGGCGCTGTCCCTCAGCTCTTCAGCTCAAGGCTAGCACTCTACCACTTGAGCCACAGCACCACTTCTGGCTTTTTTTCTTTTTGCTTATGTGGTGCTGAGGAATCGAACCCAGGGCTTCAGGCATGCAAGGCAAGCGCTCTACCACTGAGCCACCTTCCCAGCCAGGAGGCTATTTCTTTTTTTATTTTTTTAGCATTTTTTTTTTTAATTGTAAAGATACTATACAGAGGGTTACAGTTACATGAGTGAGGTAATGAGTACACTTCCTCTTGAACATTGTTAGCCCCTCCATTGTTTTCCCCCTACCACCCCCCCCCCCCCCCCCTCCCCGAAGTTCTTTTTTTTTTTTTTGATTGTGATTAAGTGATTACATAATTTCTAAGTCACAAGTTCATTCTAACTTTCCTGGAGCAAATTGTCTATCGCAGTCTGTAATATATAACAGTGTTCACATGTTATATACCATATATGTGATCAGCAGCATGGGGATATTTAGTAGTGGTTCAACCAGATGAGTGGGAGTTCTTTGTTTCTTAAGTCCTGTTAGTTTTGTCATATCACCTAACATTTTGGATTTAGCATCCACTTATCAGGGAGACCATGTACCGTTTGTCTCTTCGCTCTTGGCTTACCTCGCTCAACATGATTCCTTCTAGCTCCATCCATTTCAAGGAGGCTATTTCTTGATGTGCCTCCTGCCTCTACTCTCGCCAGAGGCAGATGGAGCCTAAGGAAACTTAGGAACTAGATCATTAAGGTCAGATTCTCTATACTTAAGATTTCATCTTGCTTACATTTATGACATCAGAATCGGTGACAGTGTCAATTTGCTGAAGGGTGGCAGGGGGTGGCACATAGGAACCGGCAATGAGAGACTGGGACCCAACTTCATCTAGGAAACCCTCAGAAGATTCCACTGACATTAGGTATCCAGCTTTCAGCTTCTTCCTGGCAGATAAAAGGCAGAAGTCAGTCTTATGCAGCAAAGCAGTTATAAAACATGTACCTCAAATTCTGCAACAATGTTTTGGTAAATAAGCTGCAGGCCTCTGTTCTCAATTTCTTCTGTTCACAAAACACTTTTTTTTTTCTCCTGTCCTGGGGCTTGAATTCAGGACCTGGACACTGTCCCCAAGCTTCTTTTTGCTCAAGGCTAGCGGATTTACCGTTTTGAGCTACAGTCCCACTTCCGGCTTTTTCTGAGTCATTTGCTGGAAATGAGAAGCTCATGGGCTTTATTGCCCAAGATGGCTTCAAACCATGATGCTCAGATCTCAGCCTCCTAAGTCACTAGGATTACATGTGTGAGCCACCGGTGCCTAGTTCAAGGAATTTTTAAATTTACACTATTTGGAAACACCAAACTGAAAATAGAATGCCTTTTGATTTTGGACTAGAACTTGATCTAGGTACAAACAGATTTATATGGGTATGTGTCTGTGCTAGTCCTGAGGCTTGAACTCAGGGCCTTGGTGCTGTCCCTTAGTTTTTCTTCTCAAGGCTGGTGCTCTACTCCTTGAGCTATAGCTCCTGGTCCATCTTTTTTTAAGTGGTTAATGGGATTTTCCTGTCTGGGTTGGCTTTGAACCATGATCCTCAGATCTCAACCTCCTGAGTAGCTAGGATTACAGGTATGAGGCACTAGTGCCTGGGTTAGGAGCAACTATTTTCACATGAGATTTTGTTTCATGGAGCAATTCCTGCCTTATGATATATTGAGAGATAACTGCAGGCTTCTTTCTCTATTGAAGTGATTCCCAACCTCTATGGGCTGTCACTTTCCACTGAGACTGTTGCCTGTCCATTACATACATACATATATACATAGATACACACATATACACATATATATGCACACAGATACATTATCTAACATACATACGTATCCCCCACCTAATGCTATTTCTCTGCTGAGTTTGTCTTAATGAGGGTAGGACTTGATGTGAAAATATTGATAAAACAAGTCTTCTGCTAAACCTTAGAGCTTAAATATGGGCACAGAAGCATTCATTTGTAATAAAATATGACAAGGGTCTGGGAATGTGGCTTAGTGGCAGAGTGCTTGTCTAGCATGCATGAAGCCCTGGGTTCAATTCTTCAGTACAACATAAATGGAACAATTCCTCAGTACAGAAAAGGCTGGAGGCTTGAACTCTGGGCCTGGATGCTGTCCCTGAGCCTGTCTTCAGCTCAAGGTGAGTACTGTTTCTGAGCTCTTTTTGCTTGAGGCTAGCACTCTACCACTTTGAGCTACAGCACCACTTCTGGTTTTCTGAACTTTCCTGCCTGGGCTGACTTTCAACTGTGATCCTCCAACCTCAGCCTCCTGAATAGCCAGGATTACAGATGTGAGTCACCAGTGCCCATCCAGCCCTGCCTGTTGCTACTTATTTTGGAGATGGAATCTTGTAGACTTTTCTTCTCAGACTGGCTTTCAACCGTGATCCTCTGGATCTTAGCCTCTTGAGTTGGATTACAGGCATGAGCTACCAGTGTCTAGCTTGTTTATTATTTTTAAATATTTTTTATTGTGAAGCTACTGTACAGAGGGGTTACAGTAACATGAGTAAGGTAATGAGTACATTTTCTATCAAACATTGTTACCCCCTCCTCTGTTTTTCCCCTACCATCCTATCAAGTTTATTTTTTTTACCTACTTTTGTGATGCTGGGCATCAAGCTCAAGACCTTGCTAGGCAAGCACTCTATCAGAGCCCTAGCTTTCTCTTCCCCTTTTCATACTTTGCTGTACACAATCCTTATGAACATGTACGAAAACAACTTCCAAATAACTAAAACATGAAATACATAGCTGCTATGGACACTTACTTGGCATTTTGGACATCTGTA